CATGACTCACCCAGGACATGGGGCATTTGGCGGGGGGGGACGGCACCAGGGTCCATCGAGCTGACCCAGGGTGGAAAGGCGGGGCAAAGCGAGTGTGTTAGCTGAATCCATTGACCTGATCGTGGGTGGCTGGAAGGGGCCAGGGCAACGGGGTTAGATGGGGGGAGCCCCTGGTTGGGGGACAGCGGGGAACCCAGCCGAGCAAGAAAGCAACTGCCCCCCCCCAAGTCAAAACACAAAGGTCTTGCATGTCTTTTTTTTCTTCTTCAAAATAAATGGATTCGGAAAGAAGAGAGCCGTCCGCCCTGGAGGGTGGCATGCACGTTTCCCCACCCCCCCCTTACTCGGCCACAAAGAAGTTAACAGGCAATATTCAAAGGTTTATGGCGACTCGTACAGAAAGAGACCCAGCTTTTCAAAGGGAGACGGACGAAACTACCGACAGAGAAGAAAGAGACTAGAAAGACGGCACGGGAGACGGCCTCTCTCCCTTGTCTGAAAAGTGTCCTTGTCCAAAAAAACCGGGACGCAGCAGTAAGAAATCCAGGTTAAAAACCCTGCCCTTTGTGTGGGGCCATATCTCCCCACGCAGCCCCAGCCACGTGGCAGGGCCTACGGAGGGCGACCAGATGTCCCGATTTTATAGGGACAGTCCTGATATTTGGGGCTTTTTCTTATTTAAATTTAAATTAATGGAGATAGGATATCTCCTAGAACTGGAAGGGACCTTGAAAGGTCATCGAGTCCAGCCCTCTGCCTTCACTAGCAGGACCAAGTACTGATTTTGCCCCAGATCCCTAAGTGGCCCCCTCAAGGATTGAATTCACAACCCTGGGTTTAGCAGGCCAATGCTCAAACCACTGAGCTATCCCTCCCCCCGGCTCCTATTACCCCGCACCCCCCTGTCCTGATTTTTCACACTTGCTGTCTGGTCACCCTGGGCTGCCCACGCCTGGCCTGTGCAAAAATGACAAGGCAGCCAATGGAGAGGCGCTTAAAAAATCCGGGGCATTTGAAAAAAATACACAGCAGGGCCTGGAAGGGTGTGTTCATGTTGGCATCTGGCAGTGGCGCTGTGGGGGTTTTTCTCTGCAGCTAGAAGGGCTAGAAACTTTAAAAAATATATATTAAAGTCAAGAGTCTCGGCTAATTCCACCCACCCCAGAGCTGGGGCTTTATAAACCTCACCCCGCATTGTGAGAGTGGGGAACACTGGCTAACACCCAGCCATTTCCCCCCCACCCCCAGTTAATAAGGCTTGTTTGCTCCTGGACTTTGGGACTACTTCTCGGAAAGACTAAAACTTAATGCTCTAGCGAGGGGTGTCCCCCCCCCCTTTGAAAGACGTGCCCACCTAACGGGAAATGACCCAGTTGCACCACCCCAGCCAAAGCCCACCCCAGGCCCTCATTAGGGCTTGTCACCCAAACGGTTCTTTAGACAATTGGGTTTCCGACAGACTTGGCTGCATCCCGCCCAAAATGTCCATGTTTTGTTTTAACACCCCCCGAACACCCCCAAAATGAACAATTTTCAACCCGAAATGAAAAGATGTCCCGCCTGGCCTGCGGCCGCGGAGCTCCGTGGGAGCTGTAGTTTGGGAGCCTTCTGCTCCCATTTGCCTCTATGGGCAGCGCTCCCCGGCCGGACTTCACTTCCCATGTTGCACCGCGGCCAAGCAGGAAGGCTGTGGTGCTTCATGGGAGATGTAGTCCAAGCAAGCAGCCCAATTAAGAGGGGGGCTGGGAGCTGAACTACCCCACCCATGAGGCGCTGCACTGGCATTTCAGACTTAAAATATTTCTATTTGCAGCCAAAATAGTATAGATTTAGGGTTTCTTTTCACCAAAAACTTGAAATTCAGCATGGAAAAAACCCCATTTTTCAGACCCCCTGTAATTGTAATGTATGCATCTTCCACGCAGCCCCCACCAGCTGCTCCTCTGCCCCCTCCCGCTGGAAATTCTGGAGTGGCTCTTCCGCATCTGAGCTTTCTTTGCCTCCTGGCCGAGCGCCGACGTGCAGCCGGTGAGCAACGCACACCTTCAGCTGCTTTACCTGAGCCATTGGCTTTACTGACGCTCCCTTGTACAAACAGCTGCTGTGTCCCACCCCAGAGGTGGCTGTCTCTCAGTGCCAGGCAAAAGATCCCTGGCATTAAAAATGATGTCACGCACCCCCATCCAGGGCCGGCTCCAGGCACCAGCTTAACAAGCAGGTGCTTGGGGCGGCCAAGGGAGGGGGCGGCACCTGTGGCAATTCGGGGGCGGCAGGTCCCTCACTCCCTCTAGGAGCGAAGGACCTGCCGCTGAACTGCCGCCGCCGATCCCGGCTTTTTTTTTTTTTTTTGCTTGGGGTGGCAGAAATGCTGGAGCCGGCCCTGCCCCCATCCCCACCCCCACCCCAAGCCAATTGGCCTCACACAGCAGGGATCGGACCCTGTGTCCCCCTTTGCAAACAGCTCCCATCAATGGCTTGACCCAGGTCTCGGGGGGTGGGGGGGCAAGGACAGATCACAGCGTCCCAGTGGGGCCAGGCCCCTGCGGTTCGGGGGTTAATGCAATTTGGGACTTTGATCACCCCTCAGCTCCACGTGGTGACTGACAAGCTACGTGGCTGGATCAGATGCCAGGTGCTGCAAGGGACGACCCCCCCCCCCCATACACACACACACCCCAGCACCACCGTGGGGCAGGTCGTGCCCTGCCCCAAGGAATGATGACGCCCCCGTGGGCCAGGCCCTGCCCGGTGGAACGGGGTGTGTGAAGAGGCACTGGGAGAGGGGAATGGTGGGGGGGGTTTGCTCTGTGTGTATTTGCACTTTGTGACTAGTCTGCATGTGTGTTGTATGTGTGTTCTGTGGTGTGTGGGTGCATCTGTAGCGTGGGTGCAAATGTGAACAGGTATGTGTGTGTGTCTGTGTCTGTGTGTAGTGCATATGTGAATGTGTGTGCAGTGGGTGTGCGCGCACACATGCAGTGTGTGTACATGCATGCAGTGTGTGTCTGTAGCATGTGTGCAAATGTGAACAGGTGTGTGTAGTGAATGTGTGTGCAGTGTGTTAGCATGTGCCTACAGAGTGCATGTGCATGTTGTGTGTGTGCATGCACGTATGTGTGTGTGTGCAAATGTGAACGGGGTGTGTGCAGTCTATGTGTGAATGTTTGTGCAGTGTCTGCATGTGTGCCTGCAGAGTGCATGTGTGTATGTGTACACATGGAGTGTGTGGACACATGTGTGTGTGTCTGTAGTGTGTGTGCAAATGTGAATGGGGTGTGTGCAGTGTATGTGTGATTGTGTGTGCACATGTGCCTGCAGAATGTGTGTGTGTGTGTGTGTGTGTGTGTACACAAATGCAGTGTGTGTGCATGCAGTATGTGTGTGTGCAAATGTGAATGGAAGTCATGGGGTGTGTGCAGTGTATGTATGAACTGTTTGTGCAGTGTGTGCGCCTGTGCTTGCAGAGTGCGTTTTGTGTGTGTGTCTACGTGCAGCGTGTGCATGCATGTGTAAAGTGTGTCCATACAGTAGTGTGTGTGTGTGTGTGTGTGTGTGCACAGTATGTATACACGTGCAGTGTGCGCGCGCGTGCAGTATGTATGCATGTGCAGTGTGTGTGTGTGTGTGTCTACGTGCAGTGTGTGTGCACTCAGTATGTATACATGTGTAGTGTGTGTGTGTGCACAGTATGTATACATGTGCTGTGTGCGTGTGTGTGCACTCAGTATGTATGCACGCGCAGTGTGTTTGTGTGTCTACGTGCAGTGTATGTGTATGTGCACAGTATGTATACACGTGCAGTGTGTGTGTATGCACGCGCAGTATGTGTGTGTCTACGTGCACTGTGTGTGTGCACACAGTGTGTGTGCACAGTGTGTGAGCGCAGTATGTATACACGTGCAGTGTGTGTGTGTGTCTACGTGCAGGGTGTGTGTGTGCACACAGTGTGTGTGTGTCTATGTGCAGGGTGTGTGTGTGTGCGTGTGCACACAGTGTGTGTGTGTGTGTGTGTGTCTACGTGCAGGGGGTGTGTGTGTGCGTGTGCACACAGTGTGTGTGTGTGTGCGCGCGCAGTATGTATACACATGTCCGCACCAGGGCATCACACCAGGCTGTGGAGCAGGGGGCCCAGTGCCACCCCCTGTTCATGAGCGGGCAGCCGGAGGCGAGAGGCCGGCGGTGAAACCAATGGGGGTGCGGCGCGGGGGGGGGGGCACACATCATCAGCCCAGCTGGCTCCCAGAGCCCCCCGCTGCGCGCGGCCCCCTGCAACAGGCTGACACGGGGGGGGGCGCCCTTCTTCCGCCGCAGGTGGGATCCGGCTGCTGGTTCTTGCACCTCTCCAGAGCCGGGGACGGGGTGGGGATCGAGTCACCCCCGTCCCCCAAATCACCCCTCCAGGCCCAGCTGCAGCTTGAGTCCCTGTGTCCGGCCGACGCCCCAGCCCACCCCCAGACCCCAGGAGAAGAGCACGATGCAGAACAAAACAAGTTAAATGAAAACACCAAGGGGGGGATTGTAGCACTCCCCCCCCCCAGCTTCCCCTTCTCCTAAACCTTGCTCCCCTCCAATCCCCGCAAACCTCACTGCCCTGCAATCCCCCCAACCCTCGCTCCCCTCCAATCCCCCCAACCCTCACTCCCCTCCGATCCCCCCAAACCTCACCAGCCCCTAGGGGTCACGCTCACTTCCAAGCACCCCCTATAAGCTGGGGGGGGGCTGTGCCAGATCCGATGTTCATGGGCATTGTTCATAGGGGGGAGGTGACATCAATGAGGTGCTAAAAATTAGGGGGGGCCTCGTCCCCCCATATAATGGCTGCACCCATGACAGATTGGGGGGGCAGCTCCTGGTTCCACGCAGACCCTACAAAAACAAACGAGGACACTCAAAGATCTGGGTGCTGGGATGGAGCAGGACCCCCTCCTTCCCCCCCAGGCGGTGTCTCTGGGCAAAGGGGACGGTGGAGGGGGGGCAGCGTCCCCACCCCCGACACTAGCTCAGAAGCCCCGGATGTGGCAATAGGCCTCGAGGCTGGAGAAGAGGATGTAGAGGAACCAGAGGCCCAGGAAGAGGCCGGCGGTGAGGAGCTTGGCCGGCCGGGGGCCCCCCAGCTCGCCCCCGATGCTCGGCCGGCGGCGGTACATGAGCACGCTGATGCAGACGAAGGCGAAGATGGTGAAGAGGGTGACGGAGAAGGCCAGGGTGCCCGTCTGCACCTTGAAGTCCTGGCCCTGCGCGGCCCAGTAGATGGCCGCCACCGACCAGGCCACGCCCAGGCCCAGGAACACGTTCACCGCGTTGCTCCCCGTCACGTTGCCGATGGAGGCGTCGGCGCATTGGTCCTGCAGGGCGGCCACCTTGCTGGCAAAGGTGTCTGGGGGGGGAGAGACGGGGCATCAGCTCGCGGCCACGGAGCCGCCCATGGGGCCCCCTGGCTGGGGACTGGCTGGTGGGGCTGACACCTTACACCCCAACATCCCTGCTAGCCCAGCCCTGCCCCCCACCCAGCTCTGCCGGTGCCCCTCACTCCCGACCCGCAGCCCCTGCTAGCCCGGCCCTGGGCTCCCCCCAGATCTGCCAGTGGCCCTCACTCCCGACCCGCAGCCCCCTGCTAGCCCTGCCCTGGGCTCCCCCAGCTCTGCCGGTGCCCCTCACTCCCGACCCGCAGCCCCCTGCTAGCCCAGCCCTGCCCCCCACCCAGCTCTGCCAGTGGCCCTCACTCCTGACCCACAGCCCCTGCTAGCCCAGCCCTGCCCCCCACCCAGCTCTGCCGGTGCCCCTCACTCCAGCGCCCCCTAGCGCCACACTGCATGGGGAAAGCGCCCCCCCACAACCCCTGGCTTTCCCCTGGCACTGCCCAGCCCCAGCCCTGTGTCGCTCATGGGCCAGGCCAGGCTCCGTACCCGGGATGGAGGTGCCCAAGGCCACGAAGACCACGGCATTGACGGAGTCCTTGAGGCCCACGGTGCAGCCAAAGTGGGAGGCCAGGTCCCCGATGAGGGCGGTGAGGAGCCCGATCACCAGGATGGAGACGCTGAAGCAGGCCCAGCCGTTCCAGTACTCGGTGGGCGGCACGCAGGCGAACAACACCTTCCAGAATACCGTCAGGAAGTGCATGACGTAGTCAAAGCAGGACGGGAGCTTCTCCTCCCGCCCGTCCTCCTCCTCTTCCTCATCACCTGGCGGGGAACGGCAGCATGTCAGCCAGCGTGCCAGC